CGTGTTAAGGCGCTTGTCTTCGCTAGTACTCGAATAATTCAAACAGTTGAGTTTATCCTGACGTTCGTTTGGTTTATTTACAATAATTAGTGACACTTTGTTGGTTATTATTATTTTGAAATGCACGCTACTCTTACTGACAGATGACATACAATGACAGAATTCGTTACGCGCTAATGCGCAAGCTGGCACTTGCCACTACGGAACTATAAATCGTATTATTTTCGTTAACGTAAGATTTTACGGTTCCGTTCTTACGGCTACGGAACTATAAATCCGGCTTTAGATCGAATTGGGGAAATTACTTCATGGATTTAAAAGCTGGTCACCAGATGGCGCTACTCTGATTTTGATGCTTTAGTTCACAGTACACCCACCAGGGTCCGCCAAAATACCATACAAACATAGATATATAAATATATAGATACAGCCATACCCCAACATAGTTCAAAAGGACGTACCATCTATTACCATCACTTTCGGCACATTAATTACGTATAGCGCTATCCTTTATAGAGGTTCCCTGAGCATGGAAGACAAGATTCGCATTATTTATTATAACTGTCAATCAAATTGTTAGCACAAATCACACAGAAAATTATCAGATTTGAAACTTTACAACATAAATAAACCGCCTTTTTATTTATTTAAAGCGCATAGCAGCAAGAAATGTTACATTTAAAATGGAAGATGTTACTTATAAAGCTGGCAAATGAAGAATTTGAAAAAATTACACCTGACAACTGGAAGAAAGTGTGTGAACATGTGGAAAGTGATTAATTTAAAAGAGAAGTTATATTTGGTTGATGTTGCTGAACTTTATAATACCTAAGTGTTAATAATGACAGTGATGATTCGAATTTGTCAATTTCATCTGACGATGATTCGGATTGTGAGCTTTTACAAACGTAATGAATGTTCACTAAATGAGTATTATCACCAATTGGATATCATTGTTAAGGTGTTGTATTTATTTTAAATAAATGTACACGTGTAGCTTACTTACTACAATTAGCACTATATTTTCAAAAAGAAACCCCACCGAATGGACATATGCCGAAAGGTAGGCAAGACGCGTAGCGACCAAAATTTGATATTGCACGCACACACAGTCTAAAAACTCGTTTTCCTAAGAATATTGGACGGATCCTTCTTTGTGATCATGATATAAACGCACTGCATCAACATCATATAGGCCAAAATAATAATTGGAAACGAATTCACTTCCTGTCGCAACAATTTCCTTTACCATTACGCCTAAAACCATGCAATTAAAATTAAAATGTTGAACATAATCTTTACTTACTTACGGTTTTTTTGATATTCTGCAAGCCAGCAATGAATTCAATGCAGCACATCATGCCAAACAGGGTAAACATTATCCCAAATTTGAATGGCGTAGTTCGATGTAATAAAACTATTTCAGGAATAACAATTATGGACGCGTCTATCATTATGGCAAGCACTAATGTTATTCGTATTCAATTGATAACGCAATAATTACATAATATTTAGTGAAAAAACCGCCCATCATGTTTAGGGCGAATATTTTTAGTTAGATTGGATTTCGCGCTATCGTGAAATGTGTCAACTGTCACATGACTTATGGGACGCGCTAAGTTTGTTTTAAGCGACCGATTCGCGTACGACATAGTGGTTAATGCAATAAAAAGAGATAGAACATGTTTCATCTTGGTTAGAAAGTAATGGAGAGATGTACAAATTTCTTTGATATGTTTTTTAAAAACCGAGGTACGTTTGTTAAGGATGGCTGTATCTAGGTATTTATATATCTATGCAGTGTACCATAGATATATAAATACCTAGATACAGCCATCCTTAACAAACGTACCTCGGTTTTTAAAAAACATATCAAAGAAATTTGTACATCTCTCCATTACTTTCTAACCAAGAATAAACATGTTCTATCTCTTTTTATTGCATTAACCACTATGTCGTACGCGAATCGGACGCTTAAAACAAACTTAGCGCGTCCCATAAGTCATGTGACAGTTGACACATTTCACGATCGCGCGAAATCAAATCTAACTAAAAATATTCGCCCTAAACATGATGGGCGGTTTTTTCACTAAATATTATGTGATTATTGCGTTATCAATTGAATACGAATAGGTAACATTAGTGCTTGCCATAATGATAGACGCGTCCATAATTGTTATTCCTGAAATAGTTTTATTACATAGAGCTACGCCATTCAAATTTGGGACATGTTTACCTTGTTTGGCATGATGTGCTGCAGTGAATTCATTGCTGGCTTGTAGAATATCAAAAAAAACCGTAAGTAAGTAAAGTTTATGTTCAACAATTTAATTTTAATTGCATGGTTGTAGGCGTAATGGTTACGAAGATTAAGTTGCGACAGGAAGTGAATTCGTTTCCAATTATCATTTTGGCCTATATAATGTTGATGCAGTGCGTTTGTATCATGATCACAAAGAAGGATCCGTGCAATATTCTTAGGAAAACGAGATTTATAGACTGTGTGTGCGTGCAATATCAAATTTTGGTCGCTACGCGTCTTGCCTACCTTTCGGCATATGTCCAATCGGTGGGGTTTCTTTTTGAAATTATAGTGCTAATTATTGTAGTTGTAAGTTATACGTGTACATTTATTTAAAATAAAACAATTGGTGATAATAGTCATTTAGATGAACATTTATTACGTTTGTAAAGTTCACAATCCGAATCATCGTCAGATGAAATTGACAAATCCGAACCATCACTGTCATTATTAACACTTATTATAAAGTTCAGAAACATCAACCAATATAACTTCTCTTTTAAATTAATCACTTTCCACATGTTCACACACTTTCTTCCATTTGTCAGCTGTAATTTTTTCAAATTCTTCATTTTCCAGCTTTCTAAGTAACATCTTCCATTTTAAATGTAACATTTCTTGCTGCTATGCGATTTAAATAAATAAAAAGGCGGTTTATTTATGTTGTAAAATCTCAAATCTGATAATTTTCTGTGTGATTTGTGCTAACAATTTGATTGACAGCTATAATAAATAATGCGAATCTTGTCTTCCATGCTCAGGGTACCTCTATAAAGGATAGCGCTATACGTAATTAATGTGCCGAAAGTGATGGTAATAGATGGTACGTCCTTTTGAACTATGTTAGGGTATGGCTGTATCTATGTATTTATATATCTATGATACAAATTTGTAACATTGCTGTTTCTATTCTGAGAAGGCCGTATTCTGTGGTATGTACTTATTTTACCTACATCAGAAGTCAGAACACCACTTTTGACATTAACCTGTAATACCTTGACTCACATCACATGTACACCAGCATATTCAGTTTTCTACAGTGTCTACAGTTAGTGAATCTACCAATTTATTTTTATATTTCGAAATTGTCACTAAATGGCAAGTGCATTAAATTATCGTTGGCCACTTTACCCGCCTATGCCACTTTACCCACCTCTCCCCTAGTTATTTTAGAAAATGGTAACTTGGTTTTAGCAGAGACATGGAAAGGGGAGATCGCTGATCGACGAGTGCGCATCCAAGAAAGGGTGCGACCTCATGGGCGCTGCCATTTTTACACCCGTTGTGTCATGTTGTGTTTATAGTGGTGTTATTTTAGCCTGTGTTCGTGTTTAGGAGAGCTTTTTTCGAGGTTTAAGTGTTTATTTTGTAACGTCAACGTCACTGGCATTTTCTTTTGTTCATTTGGATTGAGATATTAGTTTCTTCCTACGGAGCTGCTGCCGAATAGAGTGTAGTGTATGAAGATTGCGTTAGATGTCTCTGGGTTGCGTCAGTAAACCTTTATAGTCCTGTTCAAATTTCGCGCTTCAATGGGTGTCAAAATGGCAGCCCCCTTGTTTTGTAACTTCGCGCAGTTTCATGCGCTATCTCCCCTTTCCATGTCTCTGGGTTTTAGGCTTTCCGTCTGCTGTATATGAAATGTAACTGTAGGAAAAATGAACTGTAGCAAATAGATAGAAAATAATAAGAGGGACATTGATATAGATATTTTTGTGTATTTCACTTTTGTCTAATGTTAAATGTTGTAGATTGAATAAACAATTTACCAGTGTGAGTTTATATCCTAGAGAGTCGAGGCGTAGCATATCTGGCGACGAGGATCAGGAATCAAATTGCGGAAGTTTAGTGTCAAGCATGTCTGCGTTAATTGGGTCAATCGAACATTTTTCATCGTCGAAGTCCGATATTAGTTCATACCTAGAACGTATGGAACAATTATGTTGTGTATCTTACTTTAGGCGCTTTCCAATGACCTGCATAGCGCGCTTCCGGAGTGCTCCGTAACTGCTCGATTAACTTTTTGTGTGTTCCTTTGCACAGAAGCGCCACACTCTTGAACCGCGCATTTTGCAATCCCCTGCCCCCTCAAACACATGCAAATTTTTAGAACAGTTCAAAAGTTTTACGCACTTTTAGGTTAGGATTTTAATAACATTTGTTGCAATGGATATGTTGGTGATGGTAAGTACCGAAAAATATACCACTCACACTAGTGACACTACAAAGTAGTGCACGTGCAAATGATGTATCTACAATCATTTAATAAAAAAAATGTAAATTGTGAAGTAATTTTGTGTACTTTACCTGTCTTTCCCAGACAGCACACAACGTCTTTAAGATGTACAAATTATGACGTTTTTAGGACTGGACGTCTTTGGGTTTAAGAAAGACGTCTTTACGACATCTTCTATTAGACGTTCTTAAGACAATAGCTTAAGCTGTCTTAAAGACGTTGTATAGACGTCTGCAACCAATCAATGCGTACGGCTTATCGTAAGGTTTTTGATTAATTAATTAGTTTTATATAACACTAGCTGTCCCGGCGAACTTCGTACCGCATAAGGGATATCTCATACGTACAGACAGACAATTTTTTTTATTATGTAGCAATTCCCGGGCATACACCCAACTATTTCACAAAATTTCATCGCAATCGGATGAACTGTTTAGGTAGGCATAAGAGACATACAAACATTCATTTTTATTTATTATATACGATAGGATTCTCAACCTTCTGTCACAAATCTGTATTTGAATTTAGTGTTTTATTTTATGGTAGTTGGTAACGTTGATCTCATGATGGATGGTTGGGTTGGTAACATACCTAACCTATAATCTATACATGACAAGCCCGCGTTTTTTTCATTTTCCCGCTAACTGCAATTCTTTAGCTGTGAATCAATTATTTACTCTGTTATCTCAAATTCAAGGTAAGTAATTTGCAAAAGGTTATTAGTTAGGTATGCACCTACTATTTGAAATTGTGCTAATGTATTAAATTTCTTTTACAGATAAATCTAACCTCAAATACAATTCATTGGCCTTTTTTTTGTAAGTACTTCATTTCCACACGTAAGTAGAGTATACTATTACAAAATGAATCGTACAAATGATATTCAAAAATATTATATGCGTGCTAAGAGACAGAAAGTTTCAACTTCTCGGTGCACGTTAAGTTCACATCAAAAAGAGGATTCCTTAATTAATATAGATGAGATGGTAATGGATCATTTAGATCAAGCTGTATCTGATTACGATGATGTAGCTGCTCTGCCAGTAAGTCAAAATTTCAGCTTGAGCGATTCAACTTTCATTACAGACAAAATTGCGAATGTTCAAAACTTGTGTGATAATAACATTACGCCGAAGCTTAAAAATTGGTCACTGCAACATAACATTACACATGGCGCCATTAATGATCTACTACGTCTTCTGAAAACAACCCAAATTCCTGATAATTTACCATTGAACATTGCTAGGTACGGCCAGAACGATACATACTAAACTTATCGAACCAGGAGAATATTATCACTTTGGGTTACGATCTTGTTTGAAAAGACTTGTGAACATTTCAGGCGATGTTACTGACAAACTAAGTGTATTAGAAATAAATATCAACATAGATGGTTTACCACTTTCGAAAAGCTCGAATAGCCAGGTATATCCGATACTGTGTAATATTGTGGGTTGTAATAGCGTAGAAATGGTGGGTGTCTATCATGGTTATGAAAAACCAAAAAATTCAAATTCATTTTTAGCCGAATTTGTGGATGATGCTACTAATATTATTAACAATGGTATCGTAATAAATGGAACACTTTTCCAAGTTAGGATCAAAGGAATCATTTGCGACGCACCTGCCAAAGCATATGTTAAATGTATAAAAAGCCACACGGGTTATTCTTCTTGTACCAAGTGTCCGGTGGAGGGTAGCTATATTGAGAATCGTGTGTGTTTTCCTGTCAATGATGTTCCACAACTCAGAACTGATACCCAGTTCAGATCCAAATTTGATGAAGACCACCACATTGGCACATCTATAATTGAAAATATTCCATATATAGACATGATCCGTAGCTTTCCATTAGATTATATGCACTTAATATGTTTAGGTGTGATGCGTAAATTGTTATTACTTTGGTGTTGTGGGAAACCGTCAACAAAACTGGCTTTCCAAAAAATTTCAGACATATCTTCTCTATTGAAACAGTGTTCTCCGAATGTCCCTCTTGAATTCAATAGGAAACCCAGAGGTTTAAATGAAATAAGAAGGTGGAAAGCAACAGAGTTTCGCCAATTTTTATTATATACTGGACCCATAGTTCTTCAAAGTAACATAAACCGAGATAGATATATCAATTTTTTGTCCTTGCATATAGCTGTAATCATCTTGTCTCATCCTCAACATACAACAAAAATTGAATATGCTTCGGAACTCCTGAAATATTTTGTAAAAACGTTTAAAATTCTATATGGACCAGAAAATATGTCTCACAATGTGCATAATCTTCTTCATATAACTGATGATGTAAAGTATCATGGGGTACTTGATAATTTTAGCGCTTTTCCTTTTGAAAACCATCTCCAAAGCATTTTAAAGTCATTACGAAAATGTGAGAAACCTTTGCAGCAAATAGTAAAAAGGCATTCTGAGAAGCAAAACGAAAATTATAATTATGAAAAAAAAAATTGTCCAATTTATAAACGTGACCAGAATGCTACTTCACTTTTAACAAAACTGAAGATTACAAGCCATTCAAAGTCGGTTGCTTATTCAAATTTTATTTTAACTACCCGTGAACCTGATAATTGTTGTCGTCTAAAAAATGGGGATGTCATAATTATTAAAGACATTGTTCTCAATCAGAACGAGTTTAAATTCCTGGGAAATAAATATTTAAGTTTAACTTCACTCTATAGTTCACCGTGTGAATCATCAGACTTAGGCATATTTGCAGCAAAATCAACAGATTTTGATACTGATTGTTTATTTGAATTTGAGAATGTTGATTATAAATGTCTTCATTTTAAAATAGCCCACAAAAGTTTTGTTGTTCCAATTATACATACGCAGGTTTAATTAATGCATCAGTTTTAGCATCAATACGATATCTTGTTCACAAGTCTTAAAGGTGAGAATACTGAGTAATAATAGTAATAATAATAATAATCATACAATTCATTTACAAAAGTCCTTTGGCTTATCTAATCTTTGTTCTATATAATTCGTCATAAAATCGAAATTTTGTGTTTTTCTTGTAGTTATACAATGTTGTAGATATTTACATTCTGGTACACGTAGCCTTGTTTTTTTTAATTATAACTTTCCTCATGAGACTTGTGAACAATTTCCAAACACCACTGTAATTGTAATAATATAGATAAATGGAAGATAAATCGTGGACAGTGGTGTTATTTGACGATGCAACTGTCGAAGCAATCCCTTCACATTGGATTATAGGAGATTTGTGCCACTGGCCACCATACCCAACAAGCAAACTATCCGACTCTATAAAAAATGGCGATCCATTAAACACCTGTTGGCCAACGCTTCACGTGAAAATTTTCCGGGACGGCACATTCCGTAATTGAACCTGAACATTTAAGACATTTTGTGTATAAAAAAATTATTTTTAGATGATTATGGGATAGCTAGACAAAAGGCAAAGGTTGCTGAGAACACCAGCGACTTAAATACAGACACAGAAGACTGTAACAAACGAAAAAGGAAAAAAAAAATAATTTCCAGTAGTGAATCTGAAAGCAGCGACACAATGCTACCATCACCTCCAAAACTAAAAAATCCAAAACAGAAAGGTAGTAATTTCTTCTAAATTTTGCTACCCTACATTCTCCGTTTTTTCAGATCACTCAAGAAACAGTGAGATACTAAGAAAGGGCAATCAACAGCGAAAACGTCCAAATAACACAAGGAATGGGGAAAGTATCCAAATAGCACCAAAACCATATGAAAGTACAATAGGTAAACAATACTTAATTTGTGTTTTCTTCATACGTTTTGGAATTAAGTTATAGATCCTGAGGTCTCTATTGTTGAAAATGAAAATTACGGATGTAAATTGAATGTTGAAAAGGGTATGTATTTTTGCATCGGTTTATGTTTTAAAAGTTTTGTATATAATTTCTTTAGTACTTTGAAAATATAATTTTTTTGAAGCATTAGCTAAGTCAATCTCATTCAATTGGGTTGCTGTTATGTCCACTTCTGACCAATCTTTATACATACCAAATACATTCTCATTTGGGATTTAGTAAAGACCAGCACATTTTAATTGTGTGTTTTTTGTTCGTATGAATTGCTATACAATTAATTATTTACATATACTTGAATTATTACAGATAAATACCTGAAATCTATTGCTGAACAAGTGCATATTAATCGTGCAATATGTATGGATATATTAAGTGAAGTAAAAGAAATAAAGCAATACATCAGAACGAGAAACGTGCAAAATCCAGAAGAAATAACTTTTGCCAAGAAATTTACAAACATTGTATTTCCGATAATATCGGGAGAACAATTTGATACCTTGGACGCTATTCTGGAGAATGAAGAAGACTTAGACTTACTGGTAATTTTGTCTTACATTAAGTAAATGTATAACTGTAAATAATGTCTGCTTAGGTTACAGATTTTGCGAAAATTGGAGGTAGCAGTTCGTATAATTTTGTGAAACGAGTACTATTAGCTTGAGTAACGATATGGCGTTACAGTACAGCTGGTTAGGAAGAAAAGGAAAAAAACCTTTTAGTAACTTGAAAATCGCAAAAGTTATTATATGTAAGTGTAAATTATTTTTAAAATTGAATTATTGTTTTCTTTCTTATCATTAGATGCCGCAGAAAAGGCCGGTATTGTGAAAAATAGAAGTGAAGCAGAGGTGGGAATCCAAACTTGGTTAAAGCGGGCTAGTGACAGACGTGCAAGTTTATTAAACAAAAAAACTGCTTAACGATACATGTTTTTACTTATACCGCAGAACACCTTAATCTGTGCTTTACTAAAATTTTAAATATGTACAATTTTGACATTTCATTGTATTCATTAACCTTTTCAGAGCAAAACAGTATTTTAATAAAACGTCTTAAGTATGTCTCATATTTTCCCATTTTATGTCTTTTTGGACTAGGGGGAGGTTGCCCAAGAGTACGCACTTAACATTTTATTGACATTATTAGGCATCCATTTTGTACTGCACCTTTAAACAAATTGAAAAACGGACACATACTATATTTACTTTAGTTTACTAAATACTATATTATGTTAATAAATGGTAATTACAACAAAACGAAACATATTTGTAGAGTGGCATTTGCGCACTCTTGGGAACAGTGCGCCTTAAGAGTGCGCAGTGACGTTCTTAAGAGTGCGCAAGACCCTAATTACAAAAATCACACAAATATTGCCCTCCTGAATAGTATGTGCAAGCTTCGTGCCACCAATGAGCACACTTTAAGCACTGTATCCAATCTTCATCGGGCGGTTCCACAAATTTTTCATCACAACCTGGGCAAAATACATCCTCTTCTGGTGTCTCTGTTTGTGACATTCGTACTGACTCTTTTTCTTTGGACTTCTTAGAGGATTTGGACGTAGATGGCACAATTTTGGAAACGTTTGCTACTTCACACTGCAATCGTCTCTTAACAGAATTGGCTTTTGAAGGTGGTGCAGGCGGTGTTATTGTAATGGAGTTTTTGAAAGGGGTGCTTGTTAAAATTTCAGACTTTTGGGCATTCCTCCGTCTCACATTGGAGGTTTCCATTTTTGGCAAGGGTCTAATTTGGTATGGTGTCACAATCTCATTACTTTTTTGGTTTTCGCCTTCTAATATTATGCTGGAAATGGGAACATTTTCCAACTGCACTTCACTCATGTCGATTGTAATCGGTGATTTTAATAGCTCAAACCTCGAAACGTTTGTTTGGTCTGGGAATTCAATTATCACTGGAACAGTGTCCACTATTGGGTTGTCTGACTTACTAATGGAATCGACTCTTGAGTGTTCGGTTTTTTCCTCATTTGACAGTTCTTCTGAGTTGACCAGAATAGAGTGCTTTAATGATGGATCATCACCTTCTTTCGCCAATGCAATGGAGCTGAGATATGGTTTATCACTAACTGCAGATGGTGCAAAATCTTCCTCTCCAAACACGTTAGGATTGTATGGCGATATACCTGTTGTGGAAAAAGAATTTGTGGCCTTCTCAATGTTTGATACTTTGTAATACGCTTTCCGAAATAATCCGGCAACTTCCGATTGAGTGATAACCTTACCCGGATGTGTGACAAGGTAATTATCACATACCTCACTATAGGCTGATTTTAAGGGGCCAAAAAATCCTTTATCTAATGGCTGAAGCCTATGACTCGAATGAGGCGGAAGCAGAGACTTGTTATAACTAGACCGCGCGTAACGTAGATTTTACTATAAACGCCTGTTGTCAAGATAGGATAGGCAACCAACTGTTCATCGCGGGGCAGACGTACGTTCTGCAGCTTGCTTTAGCCATTTATTCTAAATTTTAGTAGCAAAAAAACATAACATATAGCTGTTAACTGTTTTAATCGAATTTATTGGTATTTTATTTGAACTAAATTGGTATATAACTGCCTTACTCTAGTCATGAGAAAATATACTCTTAAAACTAAAGATGTAAGTAGTAAGATATGATTATTTAGCGGATTTTGATTCAATATATGGTTATCCAAAAACCCAAATGGGCTGTAACTGTTATTTATTTTTCTTAGACTGCTCATAACCATTTTGTTTACAACGCGGTGTGGTGTGGATTGAATGAAAAACCTGAACACATTTTCAGCAATTTGGCAATTTTTAATGCATCGCTTGATACGTGCAACAATCCTCCACGATTTTTTCTAGTTAAAAGCTTTGAATGATTCTCTGATGCGAATGTCGCATCTGTACATATGGAACATTTAACAGACTAAGCTATTTTTCTTGTAACAAAACCTGAAATATACTTAGTACCATTAAGTACTTAGTTACGTCTATACCTAATAGGCAAATAGGTATTGCCGTTATCTTGCTGGTAAAGGATGTCGAATAATAGTTCTACGTTATTTTAAGTGAATGGGAAAGTCGAAAACGCTCGGTATTGCATTATTGTTTAACACCTTTGTAGGTACCTTTCTAAAATCGGCTTCATTCCCCGCAAATGCACTATGGTGGGAGTAAATTTTTCGCTTCGAATGGCTCTGATCCATTGGCCCTTTAAACCTTTATCCGTTGAAAATCAGCATATTATTTAAAAATTTATCGACAGAGTACATGTTGATAGGCACAAGTTAACCTAAGTTTGGTTTATTCTCAACAGAAATTTATCTGTTCACTAATTCGAGCTAATCACGAGAATGATTAATGAACGGAACATCTAAAATAACAGCTTATTGCAATATAATGTATTGCATATCATCTCAGCGATTTTTGCCCCGCGGTGCACTGTGTGTTGCATACTGTGTCGACAACACCTTAGATACGTTAAGCGCAGTCTAGTTATAGCAAGTCTCTGGGCGGAAGCGATAGGAGGTGGATAAAATTCTCACGGCAGTAATTTACTACCGCCAGTGTTCGGTGAGATACGTGATTGTCTAGCAGCAGGAGAACTGGCTCTTCTGGACTTGGTTTAACACTCGATTTGAAATGTTGTATCCATACAAGGAACAAATCAGAGTTAATAAACCCAGAATCAGATATCATTCTCAGCGTTCCAGTTGGGGCATCTTTAAACAGATCTTCCTTCATTCTCTTTCTTGGGAAAATTAATGCCGGGGGAACGTATTCACCACTTGCATTGAAACAACACACTGCCGTTATTAATTGACCTCTTTCCGCACTTGCAACTTTACTAACAGCTCTTTTTCCTTTCTCACACATTACTCGAGGTAGTTTGTTCGGAACCGTACTAAGCCCAGTTTTGTCCATGTTATACACTCGCTTAGGAGGGAAATTATATTTGACATACAACTGCTTCAAGTTTAAAAAAAATCTCTCTATTTGAGGTTTATTAAACCCCATTATACGCCCCATAGAGCATTTTTCAGGTTGTCGAAGAGCCATTTTCTGTCTCTTACAGAAATTTCTAACCCATTTATCACCTGCCACTTTTTTGTCCATGTTAAACGGATGTGGTAAATTATTCATAATAGCATATTCAAAAGCAATGTGTTTGAGATCTTTTCGTGTTAGACCGCATAAAACCTTGTATCCATTTGTTTTACATATTCAGCTAACTGATTTTCCATGTCGTTATTAAAAACACATTTAAATCTTCCTAAGGATTGTGGGACTGTTCCAAGTTTCAATCGTTTCCGAATAGTGGATTCGGGAATATTCAATTCTCTAGATAACTGTCGTTTTGATTTACCATTTTCTATTTCCGTTCGAATTGTTTGCATTAAGTCTTCTGTAAATGCAAGTCTCCTCTCAGACTTCCTCACATAGTAATTAGTCATTCTCTGCAAAAAAACGAGATGTAGGTACCTTAAACTCTTAGGTATTCCCAAGAGTGCGCAGTGCGTACTCTTGGGAATAGAAGTGTGCGTACTCTTGAGACAATGAATCGGTTTCCTGTTTTGATCTAATATTATTTATTAGTAACAAAATTCAAGTTACACCTTATTCTGCGTGTAGCTATAAAGCACTGATGTATGTAGTATATCATGCTATATATAGTTAATCCAGATACTTACCTCTCAAAGCCTTACTTCGAACACAAATAAAATTGTAATATTTACTGCTGTCTGTCACGATGCACCGTTAACGCGGGAAAACTAATCACGTGATGACTGATTGTTTCTGCACTAGTGCACTCCATCTTTAAATAGTTCATAATTTACAAAGTAGGTGTCAGGTAGTGTTCTGCCGTGCCAAACGAAAGTGCCGTAAGTGCAAAATCGCCATTTTGAGATATTAAGACTTTTTTCATTTGATGGTTACCAAAAACCCTGCGCTTAATTAGGAAATGAAAGACATGTTTTATATGCAAATTTATTATTATGAATACTTTCAAATACTCAGTTTTAACATAAAATATTTATTTCAACTAATAAATGCATATACAGCAAACAAGGAATTGACATTACTAAGCAAAAATGCCGTTTATGCGCGCACATACTGCTTTCTTGTTAAACTGGCTTTACTTGCTGCTTATATGCCTAGCAACACATTAAAAAAATATACTGAAATTATTTTTTACAGGTCTTGAAAGTATCTTGAATCATTTTTAACAAAAATAAAAAAAAAATTTCTAAACAAAAGAAAACTTAACCTTTGAAAATATTGTCCACTACGCAAGAGTGTTTATTTCCAATTCTTCCCAAAATTTTTGCCTATTTTTTGGAAGAACAGAACCTAAATTTTTGAGAATACTTTCGCGTTTTTCAAATGACACTCCACATGGTGCTGATAAAGGAGATGGTGCAGGCATTCCGTTTTTTTTCATATTCTTTTTACATAAAAAATCTAGTGTTATATAATCATCTTTCGTTAAATCAGTTTTACATTTTAAATCATAACTACCCCTTATAGCTTTTATCTTAACAATGTCTGCTAGATATAATCTATTTTGTGCCTTTTGTATTTTTTGTTGTGACTTAAAGTCTTTCCAAAGATAAAAATCCGTGTGCTTCATTTCTTTTACTTCCACTTTGGATTTATTCGCGCTTTGAACAGCTTCTGAGAAATCTTTAAAATCATATGTCTTTTTCTGCTTCTTCAAGGCAGCTTCCACCTGGTGGTGGAAGCTATCAGCCGACATAAATGTATGGCCCGGGACAAAGTAGTGTATGTTTATTTCATTAATGGCCATTTCATCCGAATTCACAATATATATCAGAAAGGCTAGAAAACACCAATTCTTATTTTGGCTGGAGCAGTTGTCCAGCCATAAAATAATCCGTGGTGAATCTCTGTATTTCAGGAATAATGCGTAAAAGGTACTGATGATATCCTCTTTATTTCGCCCAGTAATGCCCTCATGCCATATACAGGCAAGTGGCTTATTGTTTGATTTTTTGCCAACTGGAACAAAACTCTCGTGATATACGACTATTCTTTTTGTAAAGATAACTTTTTTAAAACAGTCAATTCGTGGCAGCATGATCACTTTTTGGAGGTCTGCTGAGCAACAAACCGTGCCATCTTCAAACGTCTGCTCAGCGTGTTGTCGATACAGATTTCGAGCTGCACTGGCTTTATCTATATGCTTCTTCCAGATTTCACATTGCTTACAATCAGGTTGTAGATTATCCTTCAGATGGCCATGCAATTGAAATTCTTCACAATCTTCGCATTCTTCGTGACCTAGCGATGCAAATGATATACGTAAGCTCTTCACTTTTCGGCGGTACAATTCATATGACAATTTAAAATTAGGGTATTTCTTTTTAAAATCGTCAAACATTAGGGAAATATTCACATCACTGGGTAAGTATCTTGTGAGCGGCGCGTGCTCGCGACGGTAATGAGAGATTGTGGGGTTGAAAGATTCAATGTGCTGTTCAAGCAAGTCTTCATGTTCAAATTTGTTGTGTTTGTCGTGTTTCCCGCGCTGGTCTCGATTTGGTTGCAGACTTCCTTTTTCAGTTTTTGATAAAACTTCTGTTATCACCCGATCATTGTTTTTCTTATAACCTAATGTGGTTAGGAAAAATACCTTACAGACTTCGTGAGTAACTGCCTCAGTTAATAATTTTTCGTCAGGGAAATAATACTTAAACGTATTTTGTTTTTTCTCACTTTCTGCAGACTTGGGTCGCCTTTTCACTGCCAAGCGTTTGCAGGTATTAAAAATAAATGTTCGCCTTTCTAACCAAGACAAATTCCAAAACTGCCGATTGATTTCAGATCGTCGAAGTTCTGAGATTTTAATATTGCATTTTTTTTTGCATTTATCACGATCGCACGACTGCAACGGCCTATGGTCTTCCCTTATCTTGTTTAATTTTATACGTTTTCGCATTTCTAAAGACATGTCATATTTTTTTCTTTTTCTTAGGTTTCCCTCTTTAGTATATAAGTTGGTCGGTTCCAATGCATGTTCTTCTCCGACGGTTTTTGTCAAAACTGGATTTTCAGGGTGATCAGCACTCAATTCTTCTGCATTCCCTTCTCGCAGGTTGTCTGCCGAAGCTATGATTCCACCCTGATTAGTACTCAACTCATCTTCATCTTTACCTTCTACAAGACTATTTGCCGAAGCTGTGATTTTAGCACTTAATCCAAGTTGATTTTCTAAGTTAATTTCACTCGTAAATAGATTTACCGAATCGCCTGTAGGTTTTGTAGACGGACCTGCATCTGTATTTTGGTTAAAATGCTGTATTTGTTCAGTGGTAATATTTTCAGCATCTTTCTGTTCTATTATGATGCTATCAAGAAAATCGCGTCCCGTGCCAAGTACAGTTATATCAGAATGTGTGTTTATAATGCATCGCATAACATCATCTGAAAAACAAAAATTGCTAGAAATTTAAAAAAATTTAAATTATTTAGCAAAGACAAAAATTGCCTAAAAAGCGTCAATTTTGCACAAGAGATTAAAGCTTAAAATACACTTACCATCTAGTGGGATTTCTACAGGCTCTTGAAGAATATCTTGTTCCTCTGGAACCGCAAATAGTTGAACAGGAGCCCCCTTGTCATAACTAATAATATTGTAATCTGAAAAATGATATTTTTCATATTACAATGCGTGCGGAAAGTTTAACTGTCCACGCTCAAATGCGGCCGTAAAAGTGTACTTTTACGCACGCTTGTAGGAAAACTAAAAAAACTTACCACATCGTGGGATTTCTCCCAAGTCCTGCAAAACATCTTGTTCCTGTGGTGCTAATATCTCATCCCAATATTTATTATCACAAGAAACCAACGTAGATAAAGAATTATTTGGAACCACATTTTCTTTATTACACATCACAGATAAACTATGTTTTGATTTAGATTGTGCCTTAACAAGTGCCATTATTTTATCACTACGCTTTGACATTGTGAAAACCGGCGGATGGTCAATAATAAATTAAAAAACAAACTTCCAAGCCAACTTATAACGCAACGAATTAAAAGCTCCACGTGCACTCGATGCATGCGACTGATTACTAAATTTTATTTTGTTTTTGTTTACATTTATCCAAACGGTTGTCGGTGTGCGTCGTCTAATTTTGCGCGAGACAGACGATCCAGACGCTCCAGCATAAAAACATAAACTGTAACCACAATATTATTTGTCGACGCGCTCAGTTAAATATAAGGAGTTTTACTAAGCAAGAGAGCAGTAACAGACACTTGCTAAGTAAGAGTGAAGTATATACATATCATTTACTGCAGTTTAGTTTAGTACATGATCGATACTGCGTTTTTATTTAGTATTTACAGTAAATTGTGTATATGCTGCAAACAAAATTAACGATTTGTTAAATTTCTTATGGAATATACGGCATTTTTACTTAGCAACAAGATACCAAATTGCACGTAGTATACAAAGAACAAAAAATCACATTTTGGCAATTTTTGCACATACGGCACTTTCGTTAAGCAGGGCAGTGTTCTAAATCCTTATATTATAAAATAAATTACTCGCGCACTCTTGGGAGAGTGCGTACTCTTAGGTAACTTCACCCTAATATAGTATCTTAGAAAAACGTTTTAAAGACGTCTGGATTTTTAACATAAGCTCTCAATAAGACGTCTTTCAGATGTCTCCAAGGCGTAAAAGGATGTCTTTCAGACATTGTAAATGTCTGCAACAGACATCTTTTGTATGCCTTTAAGACATCTGTGTGCTGATTGGGTTGCTTTTTGAAAATCTACATAATTTAAAGTAAATGTATGCTCAAAGTTTGCAGTGGGGTCTAACAGCGTAATTGTATACAAATCATCGCTCTCCGACTCCGTAGAACACATTTTCAATGGAATTGTTTTTATTTTTAAGTTATTTGAGGTTATGTATCATCTAAAAACACGTTTAGTTGAAATACATCAGTTCCATTGGTTCATAATAGGTGTAGCTTAAGAATAGAACAGTTGATGAACACTTGAAGAGCAGCTACTAACCATTGGAAAGCGCCTTTTATACACAGGTTAGGTAGCGTAGACACAGACCGGAGGCAGTGTTGCCACCTCGAGGGAATTTTCCCGTTTTAGGGAATCTTTCATGTCAAAAGGGAATTTTTGCGCGCTTAGGCATGAGCATGAACACTCTAAAACACGTTCCACCCATTAAAAAAATTAAATCGGCTTTTTTATAAGATATAACAAAGCGCATACAACTGTAACTCTAGCGCAGTGCACTGCTTCGCTCTCTGTAGTATTGCGGTGCAGGCGTAAACATGCAGCCCAAGATTTATCTGCCTCTTTGTTATGTTATGTAGATGTGGCGCGCGCATTAACCGATAACGAATGGCGATTACTATATAGTTACTACAAATAGAAGTAAATCGCAGTTTGCAAAAGTTAGTTACGCTTACGTTTACGTGTACGGGTACGCATTTTTTTAACAGACAGGTGAAGATGAGCACTGTTGCTGACACGGATTCAGATTCGAGTACTGACACAGAAATCAAACACAAAAGACAAAAGATCACTACAGAGAAACGGTTTAAAAACTGTTGGTTACAAGATCCGCAATTTCAACAATGGTTGCATCCTGATATCAACTCTAAAAATAAAGGAATGTAAGGGAGACTAGGGAGGTTTGATACCCTGGGAGGCTTGATACACATTCAAATTTCCCACACTTCATATCGTAAGGTGTTGAAGTTGGCAACATTTAAACCCGCCATTACTGGCAATAGGTTAATCGTGCTACATTTCAGTTATTCCTGTTAGTAGGCGTGCTAGAGTGTATTAACGTTTTTGTGCATTTGTGTTATTATTCCGTGTAAGGTAAGTGTAAGGATATATCTCAAAATCTAACATCCATATCAAATTGGGCGACTGTTGCCTGAAAACTGCATCTTGTAGCGAGTAAATTGTGTCAAGGTGTTCGCGTAACGACTTAGGTCAAGGTTAGTAAAGTTAATAGGTTGCATGGTAACTTTCGGCCAATAGGGGACCACGAGCGTGTGACGTAACTTTGTGCAAATCCATTGTAACAGCTAAACACTGATTTTCAAAATTTTAATTAATTCCTCCAGTTTTGGATATTTTCTATATTAATTGCGTTCTTTCAAGAGGTACGTATATAAGTTATGATAACATACATACATTTCTGTGTTGCGATGTGTGGTTATGAACATTTACATCAAAGTTGAAAGTGAGAGTATGTTTCCTTTTACTCCTAAATTGTTATAAAAAATAAAAACAAAGCCGTTAAATGACGTTTTTTATAAAGTTCTATGCCTATTACCTTTTAGGATATGTCAAATTGCTAACAAAGTGTCGTAGTTTCTAAAAAAAACACTACAGACAGGAAATGGTTTTCTGACCACAAAGGCTAGTGTAATTTATGAAACAAGACTTACGAATACATAAAGCAATTCTACCCGAGTACCAGCACCGAATCCTCTTTTCCTGGCATATTGTAAAGTATGAGAAAGTGAGCGTTCACATATGTGAATCACAGTCGGGTAACTGATCACATGTTAAATAAATACTAATAATCCTAATCAGATAAACTACTTCACAGTCGGTAAGTAATCACTAGCAGATTTAGTCTTACATTATCCTTATTCAAACGCCTGAATTCCTATCTATTAATCATTAACTACGGTCTTATCTTATCTAATTTACAAGATTGTTAAATAAGTACATGTTATTCTTAATAATTAATTAATTAATAATTCAGTACTTCACTTAATGTACAGATTAAAATTTATCATTATTTTGTCAAACATTATTAATTAGTGACTATAGTATAAAATTTAAAAGTTAATAATAACACATGAAAGCACAAATACAAAAATTAATTAATAGTTTTCCTTATTTTACATTTTCTTTTTCTTTCAGCACCTTCAGAACTTCTTTTTCTATCAGTACATTCTCTTTTTAAATTTAGATATTTAATTCTAATAAAAATTCTTTGCTTCGAAAATGATTTCACTAATTCATATGGAACATCTATTTTTTTCTTTTGCAATTTTTTGATAATGTAGTTTGTTGTCCTTTTAATAATTATTTTACCTGGAGAAAAATTATCTTTGTGGAATTTAATAAAGTAAGTTTCCATAACTTGCATCTGACGCATCCACTCAGCCGATGGCTGAATCAGACCCCCGAACGATAGACTTTGTACCCATGAGGGCATGGCGTAAGAATGTAAATTAAGAGCCTCTTCATCTTTGTAACTGTGCCCACCTAGGTATGGGTATTTATGTATAAATTTCTTAGCAATAAATCCTGCTAAATATTGAGTACCATCATCTTCCACCCAAGATTTTCTTAATGGGGCATCAGAAGCAGTACTCTCCGAACTGAAGCTTTCATTGAGTTCGGTTTCTTCAGTACTAGATGGTTCTGTTACCACCAAATTTTTAAGTTGGGCCTGCTTGACAGCAGCAGCCATCAAGTACTCTCCATCCATTTCCTTTGGTATTTCAACATTGGAATGCGTTTGGACCATTCCTGGATTTTTCCCTAATAAAATCATCCGTACCCGGTAAATTGCATTTAATGGCGAAGGGTGGTCATGTAAACCACCTTTTGTTCTTAACTGAAAAGTAATAAAATTAGAAAATTATTTATCATAATTCGTATACAAACCTGGGAAAAAAAGTTCTCTAGGCAGTCCTGGTTTAAGCGGTGAGTAAGTAAATATGAAATACCATGCCTCTCTTTCAAATCAGTAAATAGGCACTGTAGTGACTTTGAAGTTATTAGGATACCCTTTTGAAACACCTGGAGGGCGTTTTTTCCAACACACCTCATTCCTTCAATAGTTTCTTCCATTTCATTAAGGCATTTATGTTGCATTTCCAATTCTAAACCATACGGCTTTTTTGTTGGAAGAGAAGCAGTTGAGGTATATGAATTTAATACATCAAACCAGTTATTCACAAGTTCGGTAAAATTTCCTACATTTTGGGCTAATATTGTATCGTTCCCAGGCCTATAACGCTTCAAGGCGGTTGCGGTGGTATGTGAAAGCAACTGACAGGCACGTCTTACATTCTGTCGCTGCGCTTTTTCACATTTAACATGCTGAGTTGTCAGCCTGTGGCACGAACTGATTTCGGAAACTCTCGACTCAATAAGGGCGACAAAGGGAAATTTATTTATGCTAACACCATCACTGGTGACAAAACCAGTATCAATCAACCAGTTGCGCAACAATTTCATTAGATGGGGGGCGTCGGCAAAAAAATAAACTGAATTACCAGTAACAGGATGTGCTATCGACGTGTTACTTGTTGTAATGTTTAGTTCCTTCCACAATCCTTGATTGCCGCCTCCACAATCTGATACACAAGCAATAACCTCATACTTGATAGTGTGAAGATGGGTGATGATATTGTGTAAAAGTTGCTTCGTCATTTTTTGGTCAAATCCAATATATACTGGTTGCTTCCAGTTGTCGAAGAGACCTCTAGCCATGACAACCTGCATATATGAAAATGGCCCAATTACCTCCTCCTCTTTTTGATCATATTCGTATTGTGAGGATATTTTTACTTCATCGTATGAGAGGACAGTAATTCTCTTCAAGGGTGTTTTTATTTGGCCAGCGGTGTCCATAATCCTCAGTACATCATCTAATATCCCATTTTTTAGATTTATATTTGCGGCCCATTGCTGTAGTGTTGAAATGGCAGGCAATGGGTAATGAAGAGTTTGTCTTAAATAGATGTATGCCCTTTTACTAAAATATCTTAACGTGAAAGCCATCGATAGTTCTTCTTGTGTCCAACGTGCCTTTGACTTTAAGGCGATGTCCACTTGATTTGAAGTAAGAACATCCTTAAAACATTCCTTCACCCTCTTTTCAAATTTTAAACCACCTAATTCCTTTAGTTGCATTTCCATTGCAGCAATTTTTTGTTTCAACTTTTGCTCACTTTCTTGAAACAATTTTAATTTTCCTGTCAATGCCTTATTTTCTTCCTCAAGTTTGACTACCTGGCTTTTAAGGATGTTTATCTCATTATCACGACTGTCCAATACCGTCCCTGAGATATTAATGCTGGGTGATTGTTCAATTGGTTCAACTATCGGTGAAACTTCAATCGCAGCAGTAACTTCTAAGCTTGGTTCTTGAATCAACGCTTGTACTATATCCTTTCCTTCTCGTCTTGCAGCTCTTTCTTTTCTAGAGGACTCAGTGATAGTTTCTTTACGAGAAAATGGTAGATACAATGATGGTATGGCTGCAAAAATTATGAGGTATAGCAAGACATCGGATATTTACAACATTTACCATCTATTTTTAGTTTTTTGGCAGGAATTCCCATTATATTAGCCATCACTTCATCCTCGTAATCACTGGGCTGAAAATGCTTACTACAAATCTTTTCTTTCTTCGTATCAAACTTATCTCTTTGGTAGCATTTTTGTACCCATTGTTTTTGTACTACCAGGTTTTTGGGGAAACTGAAAAATTTTAGGCTTTCACCTGTGACCTTACGCCTGTTACTTTTGCAGGTTGCCACACTGCACATCATACCTCCCGACATCTAAAAAAATATTAACGTTAGTTACATTGATATGTAAGAATGTCGAATCTTGATTCGTTCCAACAACGGGCAAGAAAAACTCTTTTCCCGTGAAAGCTATAATATGATTCGACAGACATCGAATATAAAGTTTAAAAGAAGTACAGGTTACATGTATGTATATTTTCCAGCACAGGAGAAGACTTTTTTGCACGTGCCTTGATTAATAAGTATATTAACTGGTATGTAGAACTTACCTTTACCTGATCTCACAATGAAAACAAGTTTTAAATATCACAAAAGCCAATTTAAAATGGTTTCAAATTTAAATCTTGCTGCCTTAAATACAGTTCAATGGCTGTCACTTGCACACTGTGACGTCATTCGTACTTCGGCCCCCTCTCTTCGTTATGGTTGCTAGTAGTTACCATGCAACCTATTAACTTTACTAACCTTGGACTTAGGTTATGTTTTTGAATTAATTTTTTTTCGTATTGGAGGTAATTCTGGGAGGGTTGATACATTTTAGCCGAGGAGGTTTGATACATGTATCAATCCTCCCCACATGAGAATATTTTATTGTAATATGGAATTGTTTCTACAGAAATGCCTTTTAAATGGAAGAAAAAGTCGAATCGGCTATCTGTTTCTCCTGATTCAATGAAGAATGCGGTGTTAGAAGTAATTGAGGGTAGCAAGCTTCGAACAACAGCTAACAAATATAATATTGACAAAATGACCTTACGACGATATGTACTCAAATACAGAGAAAAAGGGGCAGTCACGGAATTTGTACCCAACTTTTCATCTTCTCAAATTTTTAGTAGGTGCGAGGAAGAAATGCTTGCTAAATATCTACTCAACGCTGCACAAATGAATTATGGCTTCACTTCTAAGGAAACTAGAAAATTTGCTTATTTGTATGCAGTCGAAAACAACAAAAAAGTTCCTGAGAATTGGATTAAGAAGGAAAGTGCAACTTATGAATGGCTACGTGGTTTTATGAATCGTAACAATACCTTATCATTACGGACTCCGGAACCAACTAGTCTCTCCAGAGGAACTGCGTTCAATAAGCATACCGTTGGTGAGTTTTTTAACTTGTTAGGAACAATACTTGCAAGAGAGGAGTTCGGGCCTGGATCGATATACAATTGTGACGAAACAGGTGTTCAAACCGTCCATAAACCTAGAAAAATAATATCAAAGAAAGGTCAAAAACAAGTTGCTAAAGTGACATCAGGCGAACGGGGCCAAACTGTAACTATTTTATGTACAATCAACGCGATTGGTGGATCCATACCACCATTTTTTATATATCCAAGAGTGCGTGAACAAGATTACATGACCGCTTGTGCTCCACCTGGATCAAGAGCTGCTACGCATCCAAGTGGATGGATGACTGCGCTAAATTTTGAAGTTTACTTACAACATTTTATAAAATTTACAAAATGTAGCATAGCCGATAAGGTCCTATTAATTCTCGATAACCACAATAGTCATTTGTCACCGAAGGGTCTCGATATCTGTAAGGAGAATGGAATTGTTCTTCTTACTATTCCACCACATACTAGCCACCGCCTCCAACCTCTCGATGTATCTGTGTACGGTCCTTTTAAAACTTTTTACAACCAAGCATGTGATGATTTCATGATTCAAAATCCTGGACAAATTATCTCTTTAAAGAATATAGCGAAATTAGTTGAAGTGGCATATCAACGTGCTTTTACTCCAGTTAACATCGTTAAAGGGTTTTCTGCCACCGGAATCTCTCCGTTTAATTCACAAATATTTTCCGAAGAAGATTTCTGCTCCTCAAAGGTTACAGATCGTCCCAATTCTTCAAACCAAACCGCTAAAGAGCAAACACCACCTCCTACAATAGCAGTACAACAAGATAATGTTCTAAACGACATAATTAATGTGGTGAAGAGTCCAGAAGAGATTAGACCCTTTCCACTTGCTCCACCTAGGAAAACTGTATCAAGCAGAAAACCCACTAAAACAAAAATTCTCACAGATACCCCTAATATGAACGAAATAAAATTATACCACGAAAAAAAAAACAAGGAAAGAAATTCAGAGGGTTGTAAACGCAATCTCAATATCCAAAAAAAGAGTCGGGCAGGTCCCTCTAAGCAGATAAAACTGAAAAACATCGAGGAAGAAACTGACACCGATAGTGTTATAATGAGCTCCTCCTCAGAAGATTGTACAGATATCGAAGAATGTATAGAAAATGAGAAGACCGAAGATAACTTCATAGCAGGACCAATCTCAGTTGGGGATTATGTGTTAGTTCGCTTTGCTACAAAAAAAATTGTAAGGCACTATGCCGGGAAGGTTTTGGAAGTACACGATGAAGGTTATCTGATCAACTTCATGAGAAGGAAGAAACCCAACTATCATTTTGTCTATCCTGATGTTCCAGACCAGTCAATAGCATCTGAAAGTGAGACCATTAAACTGCCACCTCCAGCATTCGTTGGTGGCACCGCAAGAGCCTCGCGAAAACTAAAATTTCCAATAAACTTTGACAAATTTGATAATGTTGATTAAGTATAAATAAATAAATGCACGATTGCTTTTGAATTTTGTATACTTATTGCTGTGTATCAAACCTCCCATTTTGGGTATCAAACCTCCTCTACTAGGGGAGGTTCGATACATTTTGTACTTTTTGTTTTCAATTTTTTTCAGCAAAAGGTATAAGAGCAACCCAAGCTACTAATGGAGCATTGAAAGGTAACACAATGGAGCTCCAAAAAAGCATTTTACCATTGGAATACACGCACTCTGGTGGCAGTTGTAATAGTTTGAAATTAAGTGTATCAACCCTCCCTAGTCTCCCCTACTACATACACACTATATTACTTTATTATTCATAAATAATACAAGTGTATAAGCTGTATAAGCATACGTTTTAATGAAGCAGTGCTTTAAATACGCTTAGACACGTATATAATGCGTATGCTGTTTTTTTTATTACCCTGGGTCACAATCGGAAAATCAAAGTAAATTGAAATCCAGGTTAAAAATAGTATATTAAGATACAAGTGTATAATCAAGTCTTTAAAGCACGCGCAACGAGTTTAAGGGCACGACGCAAAGCGGAGTGCCTTTAACGTTGCAAGTGCTTTAAAGACTAATTATACACGTGTATCTTATAGTATTTTTTATTATACCTGCAGTATAATTTAAAAATAGGAAATACAATGAAGTCATATTGACGTTATACTCGAATACATGTCTAATTAAGTGGGCTGGGTGTTCGTAATTTCACGATTGCCATGGAAATGTCACTTGACGTTTGCTTATAAAAATCATCGTCTTTGTGAATTAAACGATTTCCGTTGAAAAAGATAATACACCGCCCATTAAATCGATTGTTGTAAAATCTAAACAAACGTTGGTAGGTGTAAAATCCAACTCCAGTTAAGCCTATTATAAAGTGGATGAATAGGAAGTTACTTACGAATACAGTCTTAAATGCATCCATAATGCTGGCATATATGAAAGAAATGTCAAAGGTATTTAAATCTTCTATATTTTGGTGCATTCATTCAAAACTTTAAAGAAATGCTGCGATTAAAAAGTGGAACCGATTTGGAAGCATGCCCTAAATTACGCGCGTTTGTGAAAGCTTCAACCAAAGGATAGATACAAAAGCCAAAGAAATGTTCTGCATTTACAGAAAGCGACCTAAGAGGAGTTTTTATTTCATCTAGATGACAGTTTCAAAAGTCATACTTGAAGTATCGTTACTTAGCAACTTTAAAGCACGTGTGTTTTAAAGGCCCTTTTTCGCACGCATTTGAGTGTTTAATAGTATATTATGAAACTAGTTTATAATGCAAGGGATTATGGCATGAGTGAATGTTTAACGCATGAGCGAAGCGAATGCGGTAATATCACGAATGTCATAATCCCTTGCATTATAAACAAATTTCATACGCTATTTTATCGCCGACTAGAACTTTTCAAAAATAAAAATTCTGATCGATAAACTTAAATCTGAAATACCTAAATCTAAAATTACATCAAAGCGGTTTTAAACATTACCATGGTTTTTGATAGCTCGCTTTTGTTAATAAATAAATAAAGCGGCGCCATTTGCACAAAACACGCACAAAACATGAATTTTGCGGAAGATTTGAGTTTGTGTGATGCAATTTTAAAGAAAGCGGAAGAAGCGGAATCCAGTTTGTGTCCAAAGAAATCAGAAGACTTTTACAAAAAGGAATTTGAAAAATTTTGTCACTGGATGCGGAACAATAATGCCGAAATTGTGACAGAGAAGGTTTTGCTGGCGTATTTTCTGGATCAGGTAGATCAATTAGACTGTAAATAATTATATACCTAATTGTAATTATTGTTTCTTCCGTTTTAGTCAAAAAATTACAAGTCCTCGTCATTGTGGTGCATGTACTCCAAGCTGAAATGTATGTTACGAATAAAAAATGACATTGACATTAGCCAGTTTTCTAAACTTTCTGCTTTTTTAAAAAAGTGTTCAGTTGGGTATTCAGAGAAAAATCTTTGGTGTTCTCAAAGAATCAGTTAATAAATTTTTTGACCTCGACTTGTGACGAACAATATCTCCTTATGAAGGTGGGTGGGTTTCTCTTATTGCTACAAAAGGTTACTATAAAAGTATGATTTTAGGTTGTTGCAATATTTGGATTATTTGGTGCTTGCAGAAGGATAGAGTTTTACAATTTATGTGTAAGCGATGTCCAAGAAGAGGGTGCAGTTTTTGTGGTGAATCTCAAAGATACGAAAACACATCGACCCAGAACATTCACAATTTTAAATGATGATAGCATGAATTACACTGAGCTCATTAAAAAGTACATAAATTTAAGACCAAAGCATGTTAAAATAGAGAAGTTCTTTCTATTCTATGGTGCGGGAAAGTGTACGTGTAATCCCATTAGCATCAATACCTTTGGTCAAATTCCTCGTAAAATTGCCAAATATCTGAACCTTCCTAATGCAGATCAGTTCACTGGTCATTCATTTCGCAGAACGTCTGCTACAATCCTTGCAGATAGTGGCGCAGACATTCGAACATTGAAAAGACATGGTGACTGGAAAAGCGATGCTGTTGCGGAAGGGTAGGTATGTGGCGGATTCACGAGAAAACAAGAACAAAATTGCTAGAACCTTAGGATCTGTTAACACTGTTAGCTGCCAGAGAATCAGGGATTTGGCATCTTCATCAACTATCTCAGTATCTGGAATTACTAGTGCATCATCGACTACAAATGAATGTGTTCTTCAATCTAGTTCAGGCATTTCAATTTCCGGAAATTCAAATTGTACTATTACTATTAACATTAATAAATAATATATCAACAATCAGCCTAAATTTGTTGTCAAGGCGACTTTATGGCACAACTTTATGGCACGTGCCATAAAGTGACGGATTATTAATGATTTTGACATTCATAATCATAGCATTCTAATGCTAGTCGGCGATAAAACAGAGATTGTGATTCAGGTATAATAAAAAAAATATTTTGTACCGTTCTCGTCAAATACAACGAACACATTTTTTTCAGATGCAAAGTCTGCAACGTGTCGGTCAAAGCTGGAAAGAGTGAGTTACAAAAACACGGCAATACTAATAAACATAAAAATAAAATGAGGGCTATTCAGGAGAATAGAAATATTGTTACGATGTTTCAAACAGACGGGGACAGTATACACAAAGATTTAGTTAAAAAAACAGAAATTAAGTTATCGGCATTCTTTGCGGCGAATAATGTCGCATTTCGACTAATTGATCAATTGGAGCCTGTACTGAAAGACATCTTCTCAGACAGCAAAATTTGTGCGGAGACATGAAGTTAAAAAGAACCAAATGCACACAAATTATAAATAATGTGCTGTGTAAGAAGGAAACCGATGATCTAATTTTAATGCTCAGAGATCAGAATTTCTCGATTCTATTAGACGAATCTACAGACATAGGAGACCACAAAAGCCTCGTAATTCTCACCCGATATTTTAAAAATAACAAAATAGAAACTCGACTGTTGCAATTGTTACAGTTGGATGCTAGAAAGTTAGGAGCCGACGAATTATATCAGGCATTCGTGTCATGTTTAGAAAAACATAGCATCCCTAAAGAAAATATAGTTGGTGTAGCGTCCGATGGAGCTAGTGTAATGATAGGCAAAAATCATTCGTTTTTTAAACTGTTGAAGGACAATATTCCACACGTCATTTTAGTACGCTGCATTTGTCATTCCGCAGCACTAGTAGCATCAAGAGCGTGCAGTGAACTTCCTCGTTCACCAGAGGATCTGCTACGCAATATTTATAACTATGTGTCTGGGAGCGCCAAACGATGTGCGGAATTACAGGAAATAGGGTCTATTAGTGTGACGTCAAATTTGAGCGCGAAATTCGAATTGCAGGACTTGGCTGTTTTACTGTCGAAGATATTGACCCCTATCGCCCTATGCAATAAGTATCACTTTTAAATAGGTCATCTTTATGGGCTTATAGTGACTTTATGCGAATGAAATAAGCATATCGACCCTCTTGTATCCAAACACTGATTACTTAACTTTAAAACAGAGCAATAAGCGTTAAATAAAGTCCATTAATTGCGTTATAATTAAGAATTAAAAATGTGCCTACCATATTTACACGTTACGGTTGGCAGTACGGAATGATCATAACTAGAGCCCGGATTACTAAGCAAAATGCACTTTTTTTTCTACACCTTTATAAGTAAGCAGAAATGCCACACTTTGTCAAATATGCCTCAATAAACTGATTAAACTATGCTTGATAGTGCTTATAAATGCTTATTAGGAACTAGAACGCTTATTTTAGGATTCTTTATTAAAAATACTTATTTCGTACAAAAAGGTGTTGCTTATATGTTTACCCGAAGGGTTGTAGTAAATTGGAAGTTTGATGATTTTATTTTTAAAATTTCGGAATGAATGTGACAATCTTCCCACGCTTAAAGAACCTTTTTATTTCAAGTTTAAACTCTTCCTTATTTGCTGGTCGGCATTAGTTACTTTGTACCTACAATAAATCATAATTCCTACCTCCAATACATAACGAGCTAAGCTTAACAGAAATCCGGTACTTGTTTGTTGACTCATCCATTCACAGAATTCTAAGAAAAGCCTACTTAGGCAGGTACTATTTCTTGCATTGTGATACGACGTATTATATTACCTCGGTTTGTTTCTAGTGTTAATACTTCAGTACAGATTCTACTTTCCTTGCGAATTTACGTCCTGTTATTTGTTAAAAATGCCTCCTGTACGAAATTCTCATTCTTCTTTGTTGAGCAAGTACGTAAAAGAGTTTGGAAATAATATTTTCAGCGAAGACGGCAAAGTTTTATTTTGTATAATGTGTGAAAAGGGTGTTTCTGCGAAGAAAAAATACGACGTGGTGCAACATATTAATACATCGCGTCATAAAGAGAGGGTTAAGAATAAATCGAAGTTAACTCAGCAACTAATTACAAGCAGTGTAGGTGAACAATCGAGTTCAAGTGATCCATTTTTTAAAGACTTGTGTTTGGCGTTAGTGAGTTCCCAAATAGCACAAAAACGTTGTTTGAACGTTCTTAGTACATCCAACAATGAACATTCAAACATCCTAATGACGTTCTTAAACGTTATCAGAACGTAATATGAACGTTCTTTGAATGCCCAAATGGCACAGATGTGGGCATTCAACGGATGAATTACAACACATTCTTAGGACGTCTAAGAGACAATTGGTGGAACGTTCAATAGACAATTGTAAGAGGTTCATAGAACGTAATAGCATTCCAGTTTGCGGGAGGGAGAGGGGTGGTTTAAGATGTTCATTAAAAAAAGAATTTAAAAATCCGTTACTTTATTATGTAAATAAAATAAATAAACATAATACTTTCAATTATTTTTTCTAGATTTTTCAGGGCATTTGCGTAACCACTTCGCCATGTCATTTTCAATCTCTTTTTCAGTTTTCCTAAACAGGGAAATGGCAGCTTCTGAAACCAAAACAAATACAGTGATTTAACTATTCCATTCTGGGTGTCCATTGCGTAGAAGTGGAATTTTTTTAAGTGACTACAACACGTAAAATTTCACTGTGTATCCTTTTAAGTGAACCAAATCCAACCATCTATGCAACTTAACCCGGCGTTACTCGCACCACGGTCAGTTTCATATAGCAGGCAACGTCTACATGTGGTTATTGGAAAATACATTGAGATAAATTTAGGTAAAAAGTAAGTAGTTTAAGTAAAAATAAACTACACTAAAATTCTGCACAAACCAAATAAGGATTACAGTAAGGCATTAATGAACTTCGACACGCATAACACCATTGTACAAGAAGAACGATCAAATTTCTTAACGAAATGACTGTGGCGCCGGCTTAAACAGCACCTATTAACAAAAATGTGATTAGAAATTTGATTGATTTCACATTTTTAGTGCAAGAGGTTCGTTGTGTGTAGTAAAATGGACGCAATAGAGGAAAACATATTAATGTTGAATTGTATAACATTAAGAAAAGTATGTGATATTTATCAAATCGTCGAATTTAAAAATTTGAGATTTGTTAATATAAGCGCTACCTATTTAAATTGCATAAATTCTTTAATGACGCTAATAGGGAAATTGGCCGTTACTATTCTCTTACAGTATCTGTAGATTACCTAATACATAACATATATAAACTTACTTTTTAACAGCAATGCCAATTTCAAATCTATGAATCGTTTTTTTTTTTCCTTCCCAAGAAACTAAATTCATTGCCAGCGAACTTATCTGTTATTAATTTTTTTGTCACTCTAAGTATAAATTCATATGCAGTGTTTTGCCTCCCAGTTTGGAAATTTCCCTTACCTATAAACAAGATGTGAAATTCAGAATGTTGTCATTAGGTAATTAAACTTACTGCGTCATTCAATTTTTTTTCATCAGATAAGAAATCTTCAACTTCTTTGAGAGTCTCATTGGAATTGATTGGCAAATTTTCAATCAATACAAAAAGTGAAGAGTCGTAGTCAGATTCATTTTTGTCATCTGCTTGTTTATTGCTCTGGATAGAATTTTCAATATTTTGAAGCTTTGTGTTCATATCAGCGACCATACATTGCAATATGTTCTGTTTCCGCAAAATCATTTTTAGATATTCTAGAATAATGTACACTTATAAGATGCATACATATATTTAAATAGTTCTTACCTGTGATATCACCAACATTATTCTTATCAACTTGCGTAGACTTGGATGTGATGGTAGTGGAATAACCGTTATTATTACTATTACTCGAAAGCGGTCTCACGTCTCGAAAGCCCTCTGGGAAAGACGTATTCACAGCATCAGTGATGTCATTATTCCCAAACTCTTCTGAATCAGTAAATGTTTGAAGTACTTGATTTGATGAATGTTGCGAAAAGACGCTTTGTTTATGTAAATTTGGCTGGGGAGGTTTTGGGAGTTTACGCCTCATATCTTCGTCATCTCCCGAAGAATCATTATCGCTACTTGACATTTTTCGTATTTTCCTTTTTCTTTTACTTGTTATGTGCTCAGGATGATCTTCCATTTGTGAATCCAAATCTGAAGTTATTGTTGCTTTGCGTGATTTACGTTCAGCTTCTTTAAAATTATCTGCATAATTTCAATAATTATAGAGAAGTGATAAATTAGTGTCTTACCAAATATATTATTCCTTAAGGGTAAAAATTGAAACTGCTGCCAAACTTCTTTATCGGGAGGGTCCCCTTTCTCAATTGCGTCTTGCAACAGTTTTCTATTATACGGCGGCCAGAAGCATATATTGCCATGTAGCCACGAGGTTGGTACCACGGATACAGAATTTTCTTCTGGGAATTTGATGACAGACCAGGTGAGATTCCCATTGTGTGGCATGCTTTTTATGCATAGATAGATGCATAGAAAAATATCAGTTAGAAAAAATAAATGAAAGTGATAAAAATCAGATTGTAGTGGGAAGTGCCTCTTCTTGACTAACGCATTAGTATCATGCATTGTAATACATAATTTGAAAATATCTTCTTTCTAAATGAAGAGAATGAAAAGAGACACTTTCCACTAAAAGCGTGAAAATTAAAATTAAACATAATTTACATGTTCATCCAATTACGTTGTATTCACAAACCAAAATAAGGTATTTTATTTGGTAGTTGCAGAATGTAACAAGGGAAATACTACAAATTTATTACCAAATGGGAATTTCACACATTTAAAGGCGATTTGATTTACGTTCAGACCTGTATGTTCAAGTTGCGCAATTTGTTGATTTGATTTAACTTGAGCATGTCTATAAGATGAGCGACTTAATTTATACTTTGGCATTGTAGGTATACGAAATCAACACAGGTATTAAATATTAATTGCAACTCACATCAATTGGCAAACATTAACGAATTCAGTACGTACCTATACGATATTATGTGCACCGCTATTTGCGAACGTAGATCACTCCGAACGCGCCCAGGTCCAATTATAATAATTCCGTCAATGATACAGAATGTCGTTTTATTTCACACTTGGCCAACTGCTAAAATTCAAAGGAAAATGTGGTTTTCAATGCAGGCATTTTTATAAGTGAGGTTAAGGTTTTTGTTCATAAATAAAATACAATTGCTGCAATGTGTAGTTACCATAAATAACAACATTATAAAAATATGTCATATACTTACGCAATTACAACCTGGAGAAGAAAATATTCCAACGAAAAATACAAGTCCAACGTCAACAGACACAAAACTTTGGCGCGCAATAATGGCGGACAAACCAAAACATGAATACTACCTAAGCCGCTTTCCTTTCAACTGATCAGAGCTGATCGAGTAACTCTGAAGAGCTCCGGTGTGTTCCATTACCACAGATCATTTTGATCTGGTTCATGTTTCCCTCTTCCCCTCATGCACGACCTTTTTCGCGGGAGCATTAGAGTAGATCAGTAAACATAACCTTAGTTCTTTATTTACATCTTTGCTTAAAATATTTTGCTTGGGTAATATCACGAAACAATAATGGAATTAATCCTAGAGGAAGACGACGTACAATATAAATTATGTGTATCAGAAACTGATTACAATCGTGCAATGACAGGTTTATATAACTATTTCTATGTAATCAAATTTTGCTAATTACTATATTTTATAGATCATGCATTTGCACAAAGTCTATTATTTCACGCAAAAGTTACCGGTAGTTCTATTAGTACAGTTGCCTCAAATCAAAGTCGTGTAGAGAACTTGGAACCGGCATCGGACAATTTGGAACAGTACTTGGAAAACGACCGTCACAGCTGGTCGCATGACGAGACGTTGTGTCTTATTAAGTCAATGGAAGTGCACATTGAGGATGAAAACCATCCTAAAAAAAGGAAATTCATTTTCGAAAATGTTGCAAATGATCTGATAAGCAATGGCTTTCAGGTGAACGCTACCGTGTGCCACAATAAGTGGAAAAACTTAATGCGATCTTATAAAACTGCAAAAGATAACATGCTAAAAACCGGAAGAGGACCAACTAGATTTTTATTTTTTTCTGAAATGGATGGGGTTCTAGGTGAAAAACCATCGAGCAGTGCGACACATACATTAGAATCTAATAACTTACAAAATTTACCCGACACATTGCCACCTCCCGAGATGTCTGCAATGTCCTCTCCGTCATCATCACGGTCATCAACACCCACACTGACACGAAGTAAAGAAAAAAAAGGAAGCATTCTACAAATAAAAAAAGAGGAATTTAGGAGAAAACATGAAAGACATAAGGAAAAAATGAGACTTCTTGAGATAAGGAACAAGGTTGAGGAACAGAAAGTGAATCTCTTACAAGAAATTTTAAATAAGTTAAACTCATAAATAGTTGTAATTATGTTGTTTCAATATGAATAGTAATTTCGTTTTTTAAATTATGTAATATTACATTGGGAATATGTTATATGTTACTATAAATATTTGTTTATTTCATGAAATAAAAAATAAAACATATAATCTGATTACGAAAACATTTCTTCAAATATTTGTTCTCTCCGATGCCTGGTTACGTTTTTTACATCTGACTGCAATGGTATTTCACTATTAACATCACTACTTATGTCATAAGGTTCTATTACTGTATTATCATGTTTGCTTTCACAAATATTGTGAAGCACACAACAAGCCATCATAATTTTCACACAGATATTGATATTTAAGTTCTCTAAATGTTGTAGCCTGCGGAACCTCCCCTTCAAAAGTCGAAACACATGTTCAACAATAATGCGTGTCGATGAATGTTTAAAATTAAACACTTTTTGATTGTTACTTAGGGCACCGTTGTCCTTAAATGGAGGTACTAACCAACTCAGAGATGGATATGCTGAATCACCCAGTAAGTATTTATTGCCAAAGAAATTAACATTATTTTCGGCTTTAGAATACAGTGAGGACCTCCTTAACAACCGAGCATCATGCAGAGATCCCGGCTCTCCACAATACACGTCAATAAATTGCCTGAAGCTATTGACAGTTCCTTGTATTAGCAAACTAAAGTATCCTTTTCTATTGATGTATGAGTCTTGATCATTTTTTGGCCTCCGAATTCTCACATGACATCCATCAATTGCTCCAATTACATTTTGACTGCCAAATTTGGTGGCGAAAGCTTTAGATATAACTTCTGTTTCCTCCTGCGTTGGCCACTTAATGTACTCAGTACGTAGAGACAGTATACAATTTAATACCCTTTCAATTACACGGTGAGCAGAGCTCAGTGACACATCAAAACGATCAGAAACCTGCCTAAATGATTCCGTGTTTCCAAGGTACCATAATGTCATAAGCATGGCCTTTTCACTTGATATTTTCATTTTTCCGTGTTCATGAACAGGGATGAAACCACTGTTTTCCAGTCTACTAGCTAACTGGTACACTATTAATTTGTGCATTCGAAAATGCGATTTAAATGTTGTTTCACTATAATTTACAACTACTCTTTCAATATATCCTTCAATTCGTACAATTCTAGCATATTCCTCAACCTCAGAATCAGTACTACTTTCACTACTGCTCCCACTAGTTTCTGGACCTTCCAATAGATTAATAATGACTGGTAATAAATCCATAATTAACTACAAAACCAATTTTTAGGTTAGGTGTTTTTTGGTAAACAAAATGAGTGTTCCATTCAACTTCAGAATAGAGTAGTTGGGAGTGGTTCACTTAAAATCTTAGATCATTTGAAAGGAAAGCGGCTCTAAACGAAATGGAATGAACCGTCGTTGATCGTCAGTCGAGTCGGCTGTCCTCGTGTCGTCCTCGTTCATGATTGGCTTTTCAAATTGAATTATAGTTGTAGCCGGTCAAAGTTTGAAATTTTAATTAGCGTTGTTTCTATAGACACTTTATTACATTCTATACCAATTCAAGAATTATAAAGGTAGGTTTTACTATACAATTTAAAAACGTCCAGAGAACGTTCCCTGTATCTTAACAGACATGAGACTTATAATGAACGTTCGCAAGACATTTGCCTCAGTTCGTCCCTGGGACAACCTTTAAAATACGTCCTTTGAACGTTCATTTAAAGTCCCGGGACGTTGGGGCATTATTTGGCTATAAAATAAACGTTCGCCGAACGTTTGGTGCTGTCTGGGTTCCGACATTCCGCTGTGGAAATTGAATAACCTGCAATTTAGACAATTTTTGGAGAAGTACACAAACAAAAAAGTGCCTGACGAATCTACATTGCGCAAAAGATATTTGCAACAGTGCTTTCACGATGTAATTTGTGAGATTAGGGACCAAATGAAATATGAAAATATTTGGATTTCAATTGACGAAACCACCGATGCGGCGGGACAGTGTGTATGTAGTGCTGTAGTAGGAGCTTTGAAAGCAGGTAGCAAATCTTATCTTCTTAACATACAAATACTGGATCATGTGAATCATTCAACTGTGGCAAAATTCTTTAATGACTCCCTGACACTTTTGTGGCCAGAAGGCATACGGTACGACAATGTACTGTTGTTCCTTAGCGATGCTGCTCCATATATTGTTAAAGCAGGGTCTGGTTTAAAAGTGCTCTACCCTAAGTTAGTTCACGTGACATGTCTTGCCCACGGATTACATCGTGTCGCGGAAACAATTAGGACCCACTATAAAGATGTTGATCTCCTCGTTTCGTGTGTTAAAAAGGTGTTCATAAAATCACCGATTCGAGTTCAAAAATTTCATGAACTGGCTCCAAATATACCTTTACCACCTCAACCCGTTTTGACTCGATGGGGATCATGGTTGCAAGCTGTATCGTACTACGCTGAACATTTCAGCGAAGTCAAAGAAGTTTTGAGTGCTCTAAATGCAGAAGACGCTGCCAGCATTGGAACAGCACAAGAATGCTTTTCTAAAAAAGGTATTCAAGAGAAGATTCAGTACATTCACACTCACTTTTCCAAAATACCTGATGCTATTACTCAATTGGAAGCACGAAATAATTCTTTAGAACATTCACTTTCGTTGGTCGAGGAAATTTCAACTTCTTTATCAAAGGAAACGCATGGTGTAGTCAAATTTGCATACGACAAACTCTGCAACGTGTTACTGAAAAATTCCGGCTACAATACACTGCGTCAAATTTTGAAAAAACTTTCTGGTGATGACGTCATGTTTGAAGAGGAATACACGGACGAAGAGTTGTGGTGTTTTTCACATGCACTTGTGACGTCATGTGACGTTGAACGGACATTTTCAATGTATAAAACATTTTTTACAGATCGGCGAAGAAGTTTTACTCAGGAAAATTTGAGAATGACCTTCATTGTGTATTGCAATAAAGCAATAAATTAAATAATAAGCATTAAGTAAAAATACTTTTAAATAAATTTTTTGTTTAATATAGGTACTTATTTTGGTGCTTATTTCTTACATTTTACGTGCTTATTTGCATACTTATTTCACTGTTTGATTGCGCTTACAATTCCGGGCTCTAATCATAACCTATCTTTTTCCTTGTTGTGTTTACATTTTCCCATTTGCTAGATTTTCCGTTTACGACCTTAATAGTTCTTAATTTTCTATAATTGTGTGTTACTTGTGAGATATTTTTCTTTTTAACATCCTGTAGTGGTTTTATCCGTCCGTAATTTTATACCAAACCCCTTTCCTAACATTCGACTGTCTTGTTCGTTGCAAAGGTAAGAGACTGCAGTCGAATATTAGATATTGTCTAATACTATGCTGTTTAGATGGGCTTGTGTTATGCACCGGATTGTAACCACACCCATAAGAATGGTTGTAAAATGTTTACGTTTCCAACAGATCAAAATCTAAAAAAAAAGTGGGAAACGTTGCTTCGGTAAGTTGAAATTAGTTTTGTGAATATATTTATTAACAACTCTCTACAGAAGAGCAGACAGGCAGCCAAATCGATTCTCCGTGGTCTGTGCATGCCAGTTTGTTAATAGGAATAGAGAAAACCTTCCTACCTTATTTAAACGGAATAATTTCCAGTTTTCTCCACCTCCTCCAGAAGTAAGGAAAAGGCAGAAAAAAATTGTAATGTAAGTGCATGTATTTCCCAAAAAATGATCTTAATAGTGTTAACTGTGGTTTATTTAGAAATCAGGACACACCAGTTGCTCAATCGACAAAGGTTGTAGAAAAGTGCACGAGTGAACCCAAAGCCTCCACTTCAGAAAGTACAGTGCTGTTACAATCAGAAGCTTACTTCCGGGAGAAAGAGATGGCTGAACTACAATCAAAAATTGCGAATGTTTCTGTGGCATTTGGTTACCACACAGTAAAAGACAATAACAAGCTTGTTGCGTTATATACTGGACTACCCGATGCTGGTGTGTTTCAATCTCTCTGCAATTATGTGTGCAAATGAAAAATTAAGTATTACTATGGGTGGACAGTAGAAAAGTTGTGTAAGGAAGATCAATTACTGCTCACTTTAATGAAACTGAAACTAGACTTAATGCAAGTAGATTTGGCAGTGAGGTTTGGTATATCGCAAAGCACTGTATCCAACATCATCCTTACGTGGATACACGTGCTCAAGGAATGTCTTTACGATAAAATATTAGGCAAATCTCTTCCGACAACCTCAAAAATTAAAACCTG